TAATCTCTGTCTGTTGCCAACCAACTTGGCTTCTGCTTCTGCTTGACCCCATGGGTTCGTAAGTGAACGCTTTCCAGCTCCCGCCATGGAGACTGGTGAACCTGGAAGCCACTCTGTGTCACTATGATGTGTTTATCTCTTCTGTGGTCCTTTATGATTTTGTAACTTAACTCTCAGATGCTGGTTCTATGTCCTTGGGGCATATACTGACTGTTTTGAGTTCCTACTTTGTCAGTGCTGGAGGAGGTGGAGAAAGAATGGTGCCTCAACAAGGCGCTGTAGCCACAGCACTCTAACTCACTGTGTTTGAATCCATTAATAAGAATAACAGTACTCATTGCTACTGTGTGTGTCATGAGCCAGGCACTATATGTTCTATACTTTGCAAGCACTGTTTGGTATGATCCTCTTAACAGCCCCGAGGCAGGTACCCTTGTTATTCTTATTTTCCAGAAGACGGGACTGGGACTCAGTGAGTTTAAGTAACTTACCCCCCCAAAAAACATTAATAATAATAATAATAATAATAATAATAGGTGACTGACATGGGATTTGAACCCAGCTCTGTCTGGCTCTGAAACCTCTGTCGTAGCCACTATGCTCCACTGCCTTGGCGGGAACTCGTGCCTTGGGAGGTATGCAGGACCAGGTGTATTATCCATCATTCCCATTTTACAGATGAGAAAACTGACTCTCTCCCCAGGACTCTTTCTCCTCGCCTGTGCTCTGCCTGGATTCTCCGGGAGTACCCCGTCAAACAGACAAGATAAAACACTGAGATCTGCAAGTAATCCAGTGGTGGCAGAACAGGAGGAAGGGGTAAGACGGAGACAGATAGGGCCTGTGAGCGCTCATGGAAGAAGAGCTTGGATTATTTTCACCTTTCCTCAAGTGTCCACTGGCTGGGCTGGTCAGGGCACCAGATGGATGGCATTGGAACCTCAGTGTGACCCTGTGACCCTGTAGAAAAGCTATTTGCTTGGGCTGTCCGGATTTCCAGATGTCTCCACAAGAGACAGCACACTCCACAGACACTGCGGATTCACTCGTTCATTCGCCCACTCACTCGCCCCTTCGACACAAGGCAGCCCCGCTCCTGGCATGGCCATCCGGAGGGTGTACTGGACAGATGCTGACTGCGCTCGTGTTCTATAGCTGGGGGCTGAGGCCCAGAGGGAGCAGGGCTTCCAGGAGTGGCCTACTCACTTCACCAGCTTTATGAGTGCAGGGTGGACTTTACCCCGCTGTTGAAACTGTTCGTCTGCCTTTTAAAGGTTTTATTTTTTTAGCCTCTGGGATGCAAGGAAAGATTAAGTCTGGCTTTGTGACGAAAGAGCATTTAGTTACTTTTTTCCCTTCTGTGCTTCCTAGTACTGTTATGGGCCTGGCATAAGAAGCTTTGTAGGAATTCTGCAAGGAGGCTGTTTCTGTCATCGGAACAAATTCTGCATGTTAGAGAATGACTACACCTGGAGCCGGTGCGGTTGTGGAGGTGGGAGGGGAGAACAGAGCCACACACCAGATTGCTCTGTCTGAAAGAGGGTCACGTCCCAGGCCTGTGTGTCCCGCTAATTCTGTACTTAAGGCTCTTGACAACCGGGACTGCTTGCTCCCTTCCCAAACCCTGCCTCCAGCACCAGCTCATTTTAGAAGAAAATACATATAAGAAGAAAGAGGCTAGAACATTCCAATAGGTACCAAAGGCCAGAAATAAAGTTGAAGATGTGGTTTCTCCAAAGATCTGTTTCCTCCCCGGGGAACTGGCATCATGTGCCATGAGACTGTGAAAGACAATACGTCCAGAAATGTGTGGGGCAGTCCGCTGCTTCCCCTGGGGATATGGAAAGACATGTCACCGGCTGTGCAGGAGAAAGAGGACTGACCAGGAGTCAGGTGGACACAGGGGCTTGTCTGGGCTCTCGCTGCCCTGCCAGGTGGCCTTGCTTTGACCTTCTTGAGTTTTTGTTTCTCCCTCTGTAAATGGGAATCGTGAGATCTGCTCTACCTTTCTTATAGAGTGACTGCGAGGATCAAATGGGGGTGCTGCTGGGGCTTTGCAAGACTGCCAGAGGTGTTATGTCGTGAACTGGAACACAGGCTGGAAGTGGGCTCCGGTATTCACTCCGGCCCTTTTAGCCATGGAACTGGGCAACACCCATTCATTTCTCTGAACCTGCTATGAAAGTGGAAATAATGAGCTTAGGGAGGATGGTGAGGCTCCACCAAGGTCAGAAAGTGAAGGAGCTTTGATGCAGTAGAGCACTGGTCCCATAAATGTTCATTATGAAACCCCAGCTTTGGACTGGATAATCTTTAAGGCCTTACTTAAAACAATGTGACCTTAAGTGTCAAAAACACTTATTGAAAGAGGTAGACGGCAGTTAATTACACTGAATCAATTCTTAGAAGTAGAAAAGCTTCCATCAAGAAAACAAAAGGGTCAACCACCAGCCAAACCTGTTCGTGTTCTTGACAACACAACAGCTCTGCCCAGACGCCACTCTTGGAACACCTCCTCCGGCCACCTCAGTCTCTAGAAGCATTTCCAATTCCACTGCCCGAAATCCAGAGTCCAGCTTTACTGCTTCCACTCAAACCAGTGTAGGCACTCCTGACCGAGCTCCTGTCTCCATCTCCTTTCATTGCTGTCCTACCCAGGATCTTCCCAGCATTGACCTCGGCCCCATGGCCTCCCTGCTCTCAGGCCTTCTGTGGCTCCCTACTGCTTACTGTTTAAGTTCACACCCCAAGCCTGACCTCCAGGACACATAATGGTCTGGCACTGGGCCAACTCGCCAGCTTTCTCTTCTCAGGATTCCTTGGCTCGGCTCTGTCATCTCCTCCTGCCCTTCGAGGCCCTGGCTAAATTCTGCTTCCTCCAGGAAGGCTTCCTGCTGCTCCTGAGTAGGGTTGCTAGATTTAACAGGCAAAAAATACAGTGCTCGCTTCGGCAGCACATATACTAAAATCGGAACGATACGGAGAAGATTAGCATGGCCCCTGCTCAAAGGATGACGTGCAAATTCGTGAAGCGTTCCATATTAAAAAAAATAATAATACAGGAGGTCCAGTGAAATTTGAACTTTAGATGAATGTACCTACACTAAAACATTATTTGTTATCTGAAATTCAGTTTTGCTGGGCATCCTGTGTTTTATCTGGCAACCCTACTCCTGGATCTAATTTCCCTAGACCACTTCTCAGTTCTTTTGAGCAACAAAGTTTCTTCTAAAAAATCAGGAACATACAATGTTACATGTCAATTATATCTCAGTAAAACTGGGGAAAACATGATTTTAAAAAGTCAGAAATAGGAGGTAAGCTCGCCAAGTCCTTTTCTGCTGAGGGTCCTAGGATTTGGCCTAAAACAGTATTTGTGACTGGATTTCAGAGATGCTTGTTCCCACCACTGCTGCCCACTGTTTTAATACACATGGCTCCTCCATCTTGGCCTTTGGGAATGTCCCTAAAGTGACATTGTGTGTCATCTTTATAAAGGAAACCAACCCACCATGGGTCACAACTTTTATCTCACTGATCCGGTTCACGATAGGCCTTGCATATGGCATCTCTCAGCCTGTGATGCATATTCCCATCTCACATCCCATTTCTCCCACAGCGGCCCAGGCAGGAAGAGCAGCACAGGGAGTTTGGACAGTTAAAGAGGAGGAAAGAAAAGTGTGGGAGGTGAAACGGTGCTTAATCCAAAGTGTCAAAGAACTACTTAATTAACTATAAATATTGTGTGTGTTATAAAGCAATAAAAAGAATGAGATTTTGCTTTTTTTTTTTTTAATTTTTAGGTGAGGCAACCCTTGGTTAACCTCACAGATTTCAAGGACCTTGTCAGTTTACAATCTTTTTTTTTTTTTTTTTTTTACACCTATAGCACCTGGTCTTCTTATATGGTTATATGGTCTCCTACCCAAGTACTAACCAGGCCCAACACTGTTTAGCTTCCAGATCTGACGGGATCAGGCTTGTTCAGGGTAGCATGGCTATAGATAAGAATGAGATTTTGAAGCATATGGTGGAATGTTTAAAAGTCTATAAGGTACCAGGTCACAGGGAAATCTACTTAATAAAATTAAGAGAGAACTGCAGCTAGTATGTATCTGGCCAGTCTTAAAACGTTATAATTAGGAGAAACAAAAAACCTTGAAAACAGGTCCCGAGTTCAGTACCATCTCACCTCCCCAATCTGGGTGGAGTCACTTCTGGCCAAATGTAAGAGGTGGGGACTGGACAAACGGTCTGTGAGGGCCCATCCACCTCCCCTAGTCACAAAATGTAAGACTAGAAAGTGACCATTTCCTCGGTGGCCAAGACACACCTCAAAGTCTTCAGGAACAAAGGGAAAGTTACCACATGGCCCATGGACAGGGGCTATGGGATGCCTTTGGTTTCAGAAGCATGAAAAAGAGTGCTTTTAGAAACGAGGTGATATGAAATACTACATGCTGCAGTTCACAAAGGTGATGGAATTGTGGTCCTGAAGACAATTTAGGGATGTGTGGACGTACTCATTACATTTTAAGGGAGAAAAGCCATTTGCACAATTTGGAGTGTGTGTGTGTGTGTGTGTGTGTGTGTGTGTGTGTGTGTGTGTGTGTGTTTTAGAGAGGGCTATTTAATAACTTCTTAGAGGCTCTTTTGGAGATAGAATTATGGATGATCTTTATTTAGTCTTTTTGAAAAAATTTCTATACAAAAATGATCACATTCTGTTCTTGAAATGAAGAAAAGATTGTAAGATGTTATTTTTACTTTTTTAAGAGGGGAGAGGAGAGACCTCAATTACAAAGATTTGGTTTAATTGTACTTCTTAGGCACATTATCATCACTGGCTTAAAAAGGAACTTAAAAAAAGAAATCTTGACTACTACCTCCGCTAGAGGGCACACTTCTAAAATTTTTAGACTGATGCTAAAGATTTAGAATGGCAGTTTCAAGGTTCCATTTCAATCCAGTTGCAGGGACTCTTAAGTTTATTTGTTTGCTTGGTTTTTTTTGTTCAGCTTTAAACAAGCTTTTTTTTATTTTGGAATAATTTTAGATTTACTGGAAAGGTGAAAAACTAGTACAGAGAGTTCCTGTATACCTTTACCTATCCAGTTTCCTCTAATGTTAACATGTTACACAACCACGCTACATTTGTCAATACTAAGAAATTAACATTAGTACAGTACTATTAACTAAACTACTGACTTTATTTGGATTTCACCAGTTTTTCTATTACAGTCCTTATTCTGGATACAACCCAGGATATCACGTGGCATTTAGTAATTTTTTTTTAACAAAACACCCACTGACTGTGGTAACCAGATTACAGTTTCTTTTTTGCATGAATATCTGTATATTTGTAAAAGTTATTTAACTTTTCCAACCCCAATGTTGTCATCAACATTTCTGTGTTTTGCAGTGTGTGTGGAACCATTATTTTTAGTAATTTTGTGTTTTCTCCAATTAATCTTTTGCTTTTGGCTTATGTTCCCCCAAGCAGGATCTTTAAAAGGTGAATGCAATAGAATTCTCATAACTTTTTTTAGGTTTAATAATGGCATTGTGCTTAGGATTTAAAGAAAAAGTCCTTATCAGTGAGACACATCCTGAAATATTTACAGATGAAATTATTTACTTTAAAATACTTTGAATAAAAATAATTGAGGAGCTAGAGAAAATAAAACAGGATGTGTATATGGGTGCTCATGAGATTATTCTTTTTGTGTGTTATTGAAAATCTTATAATTTAAAAGCTGTTTTAAATGGCAAGGTAAAAGAATTGAACAATAGAGACTTGGTTTTAATATGACGATAATGCCAGATCCCGTGGACTGTGCAGACTGGCAGCTATTCGATGTAAGAGACATTTGTAGAGTCATAGCTCTCTGTCAGAAATGCTCTCAGGCACTGCATACAGTGCCAGAAGAATGAGAGAAGACCGCGAAGCCGGCCTTCAAGAACTTAACTCAAACATAGTTGAGGCTTGGGGTGGAACTAACCGTTCAGTAAAGGCTGATTAAAAACGAATCTTGGCTGGTAGCAAATATCTCATATTTTAAGGTGGGGATTTTATTTGCATCTCTCTTTCTTAGTTTCGCGGTTTTGAGTTGACTCATCTCAGCCATGTGGTTAATAAGTGGAAGATTTATTATTATTATTATTATTATTACACCTAGTAATAATTTCTAATAATAGTAATTTAAAAATCTGTATGGGTTGTAATTTTTCCAAGCACCTGCAGCTCTTTATAGTTATCACAATTATGTTATTGATCATTTTAACTAGATTGTAGCTGCTAGTAGCTGCCGCCTTTCCGCTTGCTGATGTCAGCTGTTCCTTTGCCCCCAGACCATCAGAGGGCCTGCCTCCTGGCTCACTGAGCAGACAGAGGCAAATGCTGAGCTCTGCTCTGTAATGGTGGCAAAATCTATTCAATACTTTTCTATCTCTCTTTTTATTCTGCAGCACAACTATTGGGAAGCCCTAAACTCGGAGCAGGTATGGACAATTGTGCTCTCTCTCTATTCCAGAAGGGACTTCCTGTGGCTTGACTTCAGTTCCTGTTTTTGTGAGCCCCCCTTGGATGGCTGGGCCCATGCCAAATTCCTTTAGGAAAAAAAAAATGTGAAAACGAGAGGCAGGTCTGAGGATTTTCCAGGTTCTCTCAGTTCAGAGTGCTTTCTGCTTTGCCCGAACCATCTAGTAGGGGCTCAGAGAAGATCCGTGACCCAAGGAAGAAACTCGGTTTGGAACAGAGGTCTATGAGCAAGCAGGATAACGCAGGTTACGGATAGTAGCGGTGCTGGGGGTGGCTGCAGTAGTTGAAGCAAACATTCCTTCGCATTGTCATTCTGAGACCTTTGACAGCTGGCTGCTGTCGCCATGCCACCCTCACCTCCAAGTCGTAGCTGAGCACATTTTATGACAACCACCTATCCCTGTCGTCTCCTGAAATTGTTTCTGGTAAGACAGTAGATCATCTTTTGCTCAAATTCTCTTTATGCCTAGATTCCAGCAATGTTCTTATTACATAAAACAACGTTTTAAAACACATTATTCTGGGAAATCAGATGAAAGAGATTTAAAATGTTTTTGAAGGCTTAACCTACCACAAAGAGTTCACTTGATGAATGCAGTGGGCTGTCTCTGTTTGCTGGAAGCTGAATTGGTCAGGTGTAGAAAGAATAACTCTTAAGAACCCATTTCAAGAGCTGGAGCAGTGGTTCTGAAACATTAGGGCAGCTAAGAATCTTCCTAGATACTTGTTAAAATGATAAACCTTAGGACCCAACCCACAGATAGGGTCTAGGGTGGGTGACAGCCTTTTTAAAGAGCATCGTAGGCCCTTCTGGGGAGGTCGGTCCAAAGCACACTCAGAGCTGTGATCTAGAATGTGGGCCTCAGCTGGAAAACAGCATTAATCACAAAGCATACTGTCCATCCTCAGAGAACAGGCACCAACTTCCACCACTGGGCAACTGGGCCACGGAGACTGAGGGGTTGGGGGGCTCTTTTACATGGGATCTTTGATAACGTCAGGAAGGAATTTGCTTAGAGATGGCCCCCAAATATGCAACCACAAGTAAATGAGAAGTTAGTACTAGAAGTGGCTGGCACAGCCCCTAACAGCTACAGGGAGCTGAATTGTACCAACTAAATGAACTTAGTTCTTTGCCTGCAAGGTTAGTGGGGATGAGGTAGTCTTTTAACATGATATGTTTGTGATTACCAAGTAGTAGAGCTGAGTTGAGTTATTATCGGCAAATCACTCATTGATCTGGGCTCTTTTTTCCTGTCCAAAACAAAGCTATAATTCGTATTTTATAACCGGCATGGGGTCGGTACTATCTGTCAGTGGCTCAGAGAGCCTTGAAGACCTTATCTCGGACCTCTAAGGACCAGACTGATTGAGTCAGCTCAAATTTGACCATCTGGTGGAGCTTTTTTTTTTTCTTTTTGAGTGCATGTCCATGTCTGGCTCTATTTTCTTTCCCAAATAGATCATCTGGCCCAGGCTGACATATCCTATGTGTCCTTGCTTGTTATCTTCTGGGTCTTTTGATACTGTCAAACGTGACCTATGACTCAGAATTATCAGTCATAGAAACTTTGAAATGAAAGAGATTGTATTATGTAGTTGCTGATCTACCATCCTAAGTTACACATGGAGAAACCGGCACCCAGAGAAGAAGAGAAAACAAGTTAGTGGCAGAAGGAAGACTTGAGCCCAACCCCCTACTCACCTCTATGGCTGGAATCTTTAAGGATCCCCTTGCTCTGGGCCCATGTGCAAAGTTCTCTCTCTCATCCATCATATAAGAGCAATAGGAGGACTTTGCAAATAGCTTCATCCGTGCTTGTGTGGCCACCTCTTGTTTTTAATTTTCCACTCTTACCCCAGCCAATTTCAATTTCCCATACTTGTCTGGGTCGGAGCGATGAAATAGTCACTGGCTGTGACCACCACTCTGAATCAGGGCTTAAGTGTTTGTTTTTGACAAGTCTGTTGACCTCAAGTTTAGAGGAAACACCATGGTGGGGAAGGGTGGGCAAGGGCAGGCCAATGCCCTGCTTTTAAGGAACTCATCATCTCCCTGAGAGGACAAGACAGATGCCCAGAGAAAACTCAGGGCTGTCTATATGCAGCTGCAAGTGAATGGTAAAGGCTTTACAAAGAGAGGGAGTGAGAGCTCAATAGGCATAGGCAGTCAGGTAGGCTTCCTAGAAGAGGAGGTACTTACCTGGGCCATAAAGAATGGATTGTGTTTGCCTGATCT